CAGATGCTAATTGGACTGAATCTAAAATTGATAGAAGATCCACTACAGATTATTGTGTTTTTGTTAGTGGGAATCTGATATCATGAACGAGTAAAAAGCATATCATTGTATCCCGATCCAGTGCAGAGTCCAAATATAGCGCTATGCCCCAATTCACATGTGAAATCTTATGGATACAACACCTCTTAGTGGAAGTGGGTTTAAATCTCATACTACTTGCAAAGTCTGGTGTGATAATCAAGTTGTCCTTCGTATTACCTCAAGTCTGACGTACCATGAAAGAACTAAACATATCGAGATTGATTGTCACTTCATTTATGAGAAGATTCAAAAAAACTTAATTTCTACTGGTTATGTGAAAACAGGAAAACAACTATGTGATATTTTCACAAAAGTTTTGAATGGAACTTGAATTGAATATTTTCGTAACAAACTAAACATGATTAATATTTATGTTTCAACTTTAGGGAGAGTGTTAGAATGTTACAAAATATATTACAAAATATTTTTATATAATTATTAATTGATTTCCTACCATTAATAGAGTGATTTATATTTCTATATATAGATCTCTCTTCTATGTATATATATCCATAAACCTATGGAATGAAATACAAGAAATATGTAGTATTTTTCTTCCTTAACTCTTTACAATTATGAAGAACAAATAATTTGAAATTGAAGATCTCGCCAAGAGTTGTTTCTTTTTTTTTGGTTGAGAAGCAACTTGGGACCACATCCTTGCTAAGGAAAATCTGAGGAAGAGGGGTTGCATCATCATCAATCATTTCCCGTTTTGCATAAGAGACAAAAAATCCCCAAACCATGTTATTTTGTGGTGCACTGTTAGGATAAGGCTCTGGAATTTGGTCCTTTGGGCATCGAGCCGGTGACAAGCAGTTTGATTCCGAATAAAGTGTTAGCAAGACTATTTCTGCTGTCAAAAAAGGCAAGAAAAAGCTTGTTGCCATCATCCCCTAATGCAATCTTTCGGACCATATGGAAAGAGAGGAATAGGGAATTTTTTATGGCATTGTATCTAATTTTGTGTGTATTTGGGGTTGATGATTCCAGACAATATATATTTGCTCAAATGTCATTCTATCCTCCATGAAGATTATCTATGGAAGCTCATTGATATATTAGGGGTGCCCCTTGTATAACATTCTGTTTAACATTATTGGACATGGCCGGCACCCCCTTAGTGCCTCTTAATCATATTCTTCTTTTTCTTCTCAAAAAGAAGCAGCCTTTGCGAATCAAGTTTCTGTCTTTATAAATTAATCCCGCCTCTGGAGTTGATGATGCTACGGAGAATTAAGAGCAAATTATGAGTATTTATCTTAAATTCAAAGTTTACAGGTGATTTACCAATGTGTACATTTACACAAGAATACCCCTGCTCTGTAAAACTACCATCACTCAATAAGAGGTCAAGATCTCCCTGATTCTTAACAAAATACACGAGACCCAAAACTTTATTCACCAAGTGAAAAGAAATGTAGAGCATAATGCATATCCTAACTGTAAAACTCACCGATTTCAGAAAATAAAGCGGGATACTATCATTTTTAGTAAGTAAATAATGAAAGCTATTTCGTATATTTTATAAAATATAAGTCCAGATCAAGTGACTATTAAACATAGACCAACCTATCCCAACGATTCCGTTAAAACAAATCAATTTCTACGAAAAAGAGAAGATACCTCAAGAAACGAAGAGGTTACCTGCGACGAAAATGGACTCTGTTCCGTTCCTCTGGAATAAGCGCAAATGCAGACGGTGTGCAGGGAGGCCCTCTCTCTGAATGAAGGAGAGGGCAACGCCGACCAGCCTGGGAATCTTCTCTGCCTCTCGTTCCTTAACTACAGAGAGTTCTCCTTTTACCTCTGTTAAATTTTATTCAGAAGGACAAGCAGACACGAACTTGACGGAGACGAGGCAGTTCGCCTCTGAATTACACCATTCGTAAGACTCGCAGACGTTGCACTTAATCAAATACCACTTCTGAACATAAAAACATGCATCTTCAATCTTCATTTTTTTCGCATTTTCAGCAGTGTTTTTAATTAAAAATAACAAACATAAACTTCGACTACAATAATAAGATCAAACATGCAATTCTCAGCGCAACTCACTAAAATCAGAATTGCTAAAATTAAAAACCAGTGACCTTCCTAACGGTTCTCTAACCTCCACGAGGAGCCGAACCGGCGAACAGAAGCAATTTAGTGAAATTTTCTCAGAAAACATACAGCGGTCGACGATTTAACGAAACGGAAATCAAAAGAGGAGAATGAAAGTACTGATTTACCTAATGATTCGAATAAAAATCCGCATTAACTAGGGTTTACTAGGAGCTAAACCACCAGTTCATGCTTCGACGTTTTTGATTGAAGCTTTAAACACCATGATTAATGAATATCTTTAACTGATGCTAGAACGGACGAGAGAGAGAGAGAGAGAGAGAGAGAGAGAGCTCCCAAATTGGAAACCAAACATTCAACTGAGCACCCAGCCAGCGCACACGTGGACCAATAGGGACTTTTTCTCCTGTAGGATAGAAAAAAATTTGACTTTTACCCCCTAATATATACAGTATTCACATTTCATATACATAATAGCCTCATATCTTTTCGGAAATTATTAATTAGTCCTTTAATTTATCAAATGTATTAAATAGTCCCTCTTCCGGTTCTCCAACTTATCAAATTTTATTTTAGAAAAATACTAAATAGATCCCTTTATTTTTATAAAATTACTAAATAGTCACATTAGTTTTTCAGTTATTACATTCTCCATCCTCTCGATCAAATCCTTCATCTTCTGCTCTGGGTAAGAAATTCTTCTCTTTCTCTTCTCTCTATCATGTTTCTACAGGGAGATACTCCCTTCAATTCTCCTCTCGTATTTTCTATCTTCCGGTGATGCACATTGTCTCTCCATTACTTTTTCTTATCTAACTTTCTGCAATGTAGTGATTTCATAGAAATGTTCGATTAGGTGTGAATTGTTTTGGTGATTGTCTGCGAGAATTTCTTAGCTAACCTCTTAATCCATGGTATCAGTTGTGTTAGAATAAGGTGTCCGGTTATTGCTCCGCTATTTACTTTTATCTGCTTTCTGAGTTTGATTCTCTTCTTCTTCAAGTTGGTACTCATATTCACAAGTTATTTGATTTCTCTTCGCTTAATTTCTAGTTGGATTTGATTCAGTTTAGGTATGATATTCAGGCTACCTCCGTTTTCTCAGTTCAGTAGTTGGATTTTCTTCTTCATCATTTCTTTATGTTTTCATGTATAAGTGACATTTAATTGTGATTAGAATTTATCCTACTTATAATCAAACAATAATCATGTATTTTTCTCCCAAAAAAGAAACTAAATGAGGAGAACGCGCCCTTTTATTAGACTAATACCTGTTTATATACATAAATATTTACTATTTGAGGCTGTCCGGGATTGGATTCCTTCACAGTCTTATTAGTCTTTATTTAACTTGATTTGGAAATTCTATAAGGATAAATCAGCATTTGTCTCCACATCTTTCTATGGTTTTGAACGTAAGGAGCCTTTTGTATTGTGTAGAGGAGCTATTTTTTGCAGGGTAAGGAGTTTGGTAAGCAGCTGGAGGTGAGAGTTTTTAAGCAAAAACCTCAAGTAGATGGGATAAGGTGATATTTCTTGCTCCTGTTTGAGCAAGGCTCGTGGATTCTTTAGGGGAGTTTTGCTGGTTTCAGATGCTATGTTGTCTGAATGTTCTTCTTTGCTTACGTTATTCTTATGTCTTCTTTTTTCGGTTGGAGATGCTTATCCATGTTAATTCCTCTTTTTTTGTTTAAATCTCTCCAAGAGAAGATTTAGAATGTCTTGAAATAAAATTAGTTATTTGTACCCGGACTAAATGGTTATTAAAGATGTATGAAATAGGTTACTTTATGTCACAATGGAGCTAGTCCATGATAAAATGCATGGGTGAAAATTATGACCTTAAACTATCCTCTTTTTTGAAGAATATTATGGATGGGGTTTCTTCTTCTTTTCACAGTTTGAAATGGAGAGTAAAGATGATGAAGTAAGGAAAGCACAAGTCGTTGAAGCTCGGGCAAGAAACATAAGCCACAATGTTCGTTGCACAGAGTGTGGGAGTCAGTCCATTGAAGACTCACAAGCTGATATTGCTATTCTTCTTAGAAAGGTACTCTTACGCCCAAATGATACTGCTTTTAGGGTGAGAAATCAAATTCATTCTATTATTGTTAATTGATTGTTGGTTATAACCTTTATGAACAGCTTTTTTTACCCAAAAAAAAAAGATATGGTGTTTCAAAGTGTTTGATCAGCTTAGGTGCTGCAACCTGGTTGATCATCAAACCCAGCCGATGGGTTGAAACATATATCCAAACAAATAAGGAAGTGATATAAACTGGTCACCTTTCCCATAAGAAAGTTTGAATTAGGTAGTTTATTTATCTTTATCAAGTTTCCTATGCTATTTCATAGACCCATTTTTCTCACCATTCTTAGGAAGTTTAAGACAATTTTCAAAGTGAACTATTTCCCTTGGATTCATTTGAAAATTTAGTTGAATTAAGAAACGGTACGGAATTTCATTTCCTAAGAGATAAATATTCATTACTGTAAATAGAATTTTCACTCTTTTAGTTAAATTAAACATAAATTTCTAAAAAATTCTAAAATGAACTCTCTACGTTGTTGCTATTATGCAGCTAATCCGTGATGAAATTCATGCTGGAAAGACTGACAAAGAGATCTACAGAAAACTTGAGGATGATTTTGGGGAGACAGTTCTTTATGCCCCAAAATTTGATATGCAGACTGCAGCATTATGGCTATCACCGGTCAGTTTTTTTACGACAATACTTATTTCAAAAAAAATTTATTATGACAATACAAATTTCATAAAATTTTTTTTTTTTTTTAAATACGTCTCATAAGATATTATTATTTAGTAATATTTCTTAAAATTCTATTCATGCTGAAGTATTTCGTCTACGATCAGCTTTTAGTTGCAGGAGCAGGTGCAGGAATATGGGCTTACCAAAAGCACATACAAAAGACGAATGTGCACATCATGGCTTTGAACCTTGTTAGATGTGTTCCATTGACTCCCAAAGAGAAGCAGACTATGTTAGACATCCTCACACCTCCTCCTTCACAAGGAGTTACTCCTCGCTTTTGGCCAAAGTGGCAGCATCATTGATGGTTTGAATCCCTACCATTATCTTATCTTCCTTTGATTTTTCGTTTTGTTTTTTACAAATTTCTAACTTATTCCGAACACAATGTAAACGATTCGAATTTCCTGGCCTTATAATAGGTGAAGATTACTTTAGAAACAGAAAGTCGGGAAGAAATCCATCTTCCTTTTTGTTTTGGTGGGGAATTATTGTGGGTAGATGCTGAAGAAAAAAACTCGTAAACTCTAATCTGTTAAGGTAAGAATCTGTAACATATTGCAAGTATAGTAACTTATCCAGTAGTATTTAGATCATATGAATGATATTTATATTTACAAACCTCTATTTGTGTATTTAGAATGTAGTAATGAAGGAAATATTTAACAAACATGGCATAGATAGCCTCATTAATTTTCTTATTTCTCTATTTAAACGAAATAAAAAAATTTTCAATATCCTTTTGAAGTTTTTTTTATATATTTCCTGGATAAAGTTATACAAAATAAATAGTTAAGATAATTAAAATTATAAAAAAAAAGGTAAAATTAAATAAAATAAACAAATTAATAGATATTCACATAGTAATTAGAAAATATAATTAAAACTTACCATATAACAGAGGTAAATCATTGAGAAGTAATTTTATTACTTTTAAATAATAACTTAACAAATTCAATTGTATTTAATCAAAGTCTCTGGTAATTATATACTTAACATTATTAATATTTTCATTTATATTACTAAAAGTTACCTTATAAATGTTATATCCCTAATAATTAAGTTATTAAGTATAAAAAAAAATTATATATTGTTTGAAGCATATAATTTTTTTATCTTTTAAAAAAAATTAAATTTGTATTTTGATTTTTCAAAAATAATTTTAACTAATTAATTAAACTAATAATAATAAATATACCTAATATGATTATTAATTTAATAAATTAATTAAAATTATTTTTTTAAATATTTAAATATATTATAATTATTTTAGTTTTTCTCGTGCTTTGAACAGTAAAAAGTTTCTAATTCCTAAATTAACCTTTCTTGTCTGGTAATTACCAAAATTAACCTTACCCTCATTTGCCCAGCTTTTTCATCTTAACTCTCATGGGCATCGCAGATCTCAATTCTCCATCTCTCGATCAAATCTTTCGCCTGGAGCTGTCATCTTCTACTCTCCGTAAGAAATTCTTCTCCTTTTCTTCTCTCTGTCACGATTCTACGGGGGAGATACTCCCTTAATTCTCCTCTCATTTTTTCTTTTCGATAATGCACATTGTCTCTCCAAGCTTTTTCTTATGTTACTATGTGCGATGTGCTGATTTTAAAGAACTGTTGGATTAGGTGTGAATTTTTTGGTGATTGATTTTCAGAATTTGTTAGCAACTCCCTTTAATCCATGGACATCAGTTGTTTTATTCGAATAAGCTGACCGGTTTTGCTGCCGCTATTTACTTTTAGTTGCTCTCTGAGTTTGATTGTCCTCTTCTTCAGTTGGTATTCATCTTCACAAGTTCTCTAGTTCGGTTTGTTTCAGTTTGGTATTGAAGCTTCCTCCGTGTTTCTCAGTTCAGTGGTTGGTTATTCGTCTTCATCATTCTTTCATTTTTCATGTGGCATTTAATCGTGATTAGAATTTATCGCGCTTATAATCCAAGAGTAATCATGTATTTCCTCCCGGAAAGAAAACAAGTGGGGAGAACGTGCGGTTGTATTAGACTAAATAGCAGTTTATACGCATAAACGTAAATATTCAATATTTGAGGCTTTAGAGGAACCGGTTCTCTCCTTAGTCTTATTGGTCTTTATTTAACTTGATTTGGCAATTCATGCCCTTCAGTTAATCTATCTTGTGAATGGGTAGCATCCCCATAGTGTCTCTAAATGCAATTCTTTAATTCCTAAAAAGTGAGCTATCAATCAATAAAACATCTTTTAATTTTCTTCTTAGTGTACTTTAGATGACCCAGACAATATCAGAGTCTGATTTTTCCAAATTTATGGTTCTTCTAATTCCATCAATTAAATGGATAGGAAATGGCGACCACTGCTTGTTTCATCATTGTGAGCAGGAATGATATCCCAATATATGAAGCTGAAGTGGGATCTGCTGCTAAAGTATGGCATCTAATCTCGGCTTTCTGTTTTTTATTTGTTTATTTCACCTGTTATGTTTCAGTGTTGTGTTCCATTTAGTCTTTTTGGTTTGCTTATTTTTGTCACTGTTTTTTCAACTTGCATGTCTAATTTAGAGTTACTTTTATCAGATGCTATCCTTTCTGTATGTCATTGTAGTTTCTTTTTTTCTCTTTTTGTCCTTCCATGGAAGTGTGACTTTTTTTAGCAGTGAAGCAAGAATTAAGAACCTAAATTGTAACATAAGGGTGCAAATTTTATGTCTAATCTAGTGTTGCTTTTCTTCAGCTGCTTTCTTTTTCAACTGCTGTTGTAGTTTTTTTTTTCTCTCTCCCTTTTTTCCTTCCTCTGTGGAAATGGGACTTTACACTAAAGCAGCTAAGAATTGGGAACTCAAATTGTGAAGGCTGCAGATTTAAGGATATGATTTATCCGGTTCATGCCGATAAACTAACTGCTGAATGAAGATCTTTAAATCCTTTGGATGTAAGGGAGATACCATACAGGTTAGAGAGGTGTTACCGCACTGCAATGGAACAATGGAAAGTGGGAATATAGGCTAAAATAAGACAAATATAAGA